CCAAACATTCAGCTTTCATATGCATATATTGGATTCATTCTATCTATTATAGTTTTCGAGTAAATCAATGAAATGTGAGAACACTGCTTTTTCGAACGTTCTAATTTCAATTTTTCAATATATTGGTACACCTAATATGTATAGACAAGTTTTAAAAATGATATAGCAGACGCGCAATCCGGGACTTCTCTTTTTCTTACAATTCATTTTACTCATGAAGTTCATGTGATTCATATAAAGGATGGAAACATCGAATAGTTTTTAATTTACAAAATAGAACATTATATAAGTTTTCAATTGTGTTTTATGACACACAATGTCGATGCACTATAATCTTGTTATAACTAAAACTTGTTTTTCTTGGAGAAATTACATAACTTTATTTTACAAAAAGTGGATTTTCCATGTATCTACTCAGAATTAAATGACTTGTATTGCTTCACAGAAACTTTTGTGGGAAAAAAACTAATTAAAAATAAATCCCAATAATTACTTTTCCATGTTAACAGTGTTAGGTACAATTCTCAACAATACGTACAAATAAATGTATATAAAGAAGCAATCAAATAGCAAATGCAAATCAGTAGTAATTAAAACGAAATGGAAAACGCCACGACGTTAAACGAAACCGAGATTAAGTTCAAATTGACTGACTACAGTCTATTTATAGTAACACTTGCGTCGAGCGCTCTGATCGGCATATATTTCGGGGTTAAAGGTAGAAAAAAACAGAGCTCCGCAAATGATTACTTTTTGGGTAACAAATCGATGCATTCATTTCCCATCGCTTTATCATTAATATCTTGGTATGTATCATAATTAAATTATATCAGAAAAGTTGTAATTATTATTTTTTTTTTATAGTAATATTTCGGGAATTACAATGATTGCTATACCAACAGACGTTTATAGATTCGGTGCGCACTTTTGGATGGCCGCTGTAGCAACTCAAATGTGCATTTTCGTAGGCTATTTCATAACGATACCAATATTTTTCAATTTAGGCGTATCTTCGACTTTCGAATATCTAGAAATGAGATTTAGTGCAAAACTTAGGAGATTCGCATCCGCTTTGTATACTTTCAACATGTTTTCCTATTTACCTATAGTAGTTTACGTACCAGCTTTGGTTTTATCTCAAGGTGAAGCAAAAAAATTATTTAATAAAATTATAAACTTAAATTAATGAATTTTAGTAACTGGATTTTCGATCCATATTATAACTGTGTCTGTATGCGCGGTTTGCATTTTTTACACTACGATTGGAGGAATCAAAGCTGTGGTTTGGACTGACGCTTTACAAAGTATAGTGATGATTGGATCTGTTATAGCTATAGTTGTTATTGGCACTGATAACTCTGGTGGTGTAAAACAAGTGATTGAAGAGTGCAAGAAAGGTGATTTATTTGAAATCGAGTGAGTGATGATTAATTAAACAAGTTACATTTAAATGATTACAAGTTAAATTAGTTATAGAATGGATCCAACTATAAGAGATACAGTTTGGTCGTTAGCTGCGTCGATGTTTTATTGGCTAAACTTCATAGCTGTTGGACAGAGCAGCGTGCAAAAGTGTTTAGCTTTACCGACGTTCAAAGAAATTAAGAAGTATACTAATCATTATTCATTGTAATTAAATGATAATTAATATTCTTTTGAAGAGCATTTTACATTGTCGGAATTGGACTTGGCGTAATTCTCTATGGAAGCGTTTATATTGGTTTACTGATTTACGATAAATACAACAAATGCGATCCACTACTTACTAAAAAGATACAAGTCGCAGATCAGATATTGCCTTATTACGTTTTGGATGTAATCAACAAAGTCCCTGGTTTAGGTGGACTCTTCATAGCTAGCATCTTCAGTGGCGGAATTAGGTAATAACTTATTAAAATTATCCACAATTTGATTAAATATTTCTTTTTTTCAAAGTACTTTATCTGCAGCAATGAACGCTCTTTCCTGTACAATCTACAATGATTTCATTGCTGTATACATGCCAATCGACTACCCACAAGAGAAAGTTGGGAATATTTTGAAATTAACTGTAGTACTTGTTGGTGTAATCTGCACTGTCCTCGTGTTTATAATCGAACAACTTGGAAGTATCCTACCTTTAGCCATCTCTTTACCAAGTATATCAGCTGGTCCTTTAGTAGGATTATTCCTCATGGGAATGCTTGTACCAACGATAAACTCAAAGGTAAGTAGCAAATACTTAAGAAATATCAAATAATTAAGATATTTATTAAATAATTAATCCAAGGGCGCTTTGTACGGATGTATTTCATCCGTTGTCTTATTGATCCTAATGGTATTAGGATCCTTCTACTACAAGATGCAAAAGTTAATAACATTCGAAACTAAACCCACGTCCACTGAGAGCTGTTCAACACCTTTCAACGTCACAACACCGTAATAACGTTATATAATTTATTATTTTTTATTAATTATTGTCGATTTAGAATTCATCCGGAGACAGATTGGAAGCCGTTTTATCTATTCAGGATATCGTTTTATTACTATTCCTTGATCGGAGTATGCACCGTGTTCTTCGTAGGATGGATTGTCAGCTACTTTTCCAAAGCAGATCAAAAACAGGTTCAAAAGAAGTTAATTAGTCCGTTGATGCATTGGGCGATGTCGGATGATCTACTTCCACCCACCTATAATGATGTCAAAGAGAATTTAGAATTAATGGAAGAAATCACAGAAAAACAATAAATTAATTATGATATTTTTTCCAATTTCATATCTAGTTATCCATTTCCTGTTGATTTCATTTGGTTTCTTAAACTAGGTTAGGTTTTTCAGTTACAATTTCATCAATTACCTTAAATGATTAAGATTAAGATAAGTTAAGTGTGAATAGTTTATTATAGGTTAGGTTAAGATTGTGTTATAATATATAAGTTATTTAGTTATACAACCTTGTTTTATAATAGTATCATCATCCATGCTATTAGCAATTTGTAGGGTGTATCATTATACGTTATATCACTTATAAGTCCAATTTTTACTATATAATAGTTGATACATCTTAAAGACATATGTAGCTCATGTGATATATGTATATATATTAAATCTTATACTTTACATGTATTTACTTATTTATTTCAGATCACGTTCTTACTAAAATTATTAAGTAACATAACTACAAATATAAGTTAGTACAATATCTTACATATTGTATGTACTGTATTCTATTAACTAATTATAAGTAATGCTTATACTATTTAAAGTTGTTATATGAACTGGTAATAGTGCACTTTATATAATATATGTAATTAGTTGAAAAGTTATAGCAAAAACTAAACATAAATTGCTAGATAATGAAATAATGTATAAACAAAAACATTTTTTAACATTTATTTATGTTTTTAATCATCTCTCAAAGCAGTAATTAAACGATACGTATAGCCTCAAAATAATTAAGGAAATCTTAAGTGAACAAAAATTATCCTCTATAATTGCATTTTCATGTTAATAGTGATTAGTGATTAGTAATAATAAATAAGAAAAGAAATGTATATAAGGAAAAGTAATTTGCAATAAATCAATTAAAATTAGTAAAATGGAAAACGCGACGACGTTAAACGAAACCACGATTAAATTCAATCTGACTGATTACAGTCTCTTTATAGTAACACTTGTATCGAGCGCTTTGATCGGTATATATTTCGGGATTAAAGGTAGAAAAAAGGAAAATTCAGCAAACGATTACTTTTTGGGTAATAAATCGATGCACACGTTTCCTATTGCTTTATCTCTAATATCATGGTATGTACTTTATACTTGTTATAAAGAAATTTGTAATTAATTTGTTATATTTTTAGTAATATGTCAGGAATTACTTTGATTGCTATACCTACAGATGTGTATAAATTCGGTGCGCAATTTTGGATGGCCGCTGGATCAACTCTAATGTGCATTTTCATTAGTTATTTTATAACGATACCGATATTTTACAATTTAGGCGTATCCTCGACTTACGAATATTTAGAAATGAGATTTAACGCAAAAATTAGAAGATTCGCATCCTCTTTGTACACTTTCAACATGCTTTCCTATTTACCTATAGTTGTTTACGTTCCAGCTTTGGTTTTATCTCAAGGTGAAAGAGAATTATTGAAAAAAATTGTGAAAATTAAGATGTTTAATTATAGTTACTGGATTTCCGATACACATAATAACCGTGTCGGTTAGTATCGTCTGTATTTTTTACACGACGATTGGAGGAATTAAGGCCGTAGTTTGGACGGATGCTTTACAAACTGTAGTGATGATTGGATCGGTTGTAGCTATTATTATCATTGGGACTGCGAATTCTGGTGGTATAAAGCATGTAATTGAAGAGTGTAAGAATGGTGATCTCTTTGATATAGAGTGAGTGCTGTTAACTAAGCTAATTACTTTGAAATTAATTACATTTTGTAATCAGCTATAGCATGGATTTGACTGTAAAGGATACAGTTTGGTCGTTACTAATAGCATCTACTTTCTATTGGGTAAATTTCATAGCTGTTGGGCAAAGCAGCGTTCAAAAGTGTTTAGCTTTACCGACTTTCAAAGAAATTAAAAAGTATACTAATCATAATTAATTATAATTAAAGTTAATGATAATATTATTTTTTAAGAGCCTTTTTCATTTTCGCAATTGGATGGGGCTTACTTCTATTAGGAAGTGTTTACATCGGTCTACTGATTTACGCTAAATACAACAAATGCGATCCAATACTTACTAAGAAGATTCAAGTTGCAGATCAGATATTGCCTTACTACATTTTAAATGTAATCAACAAAGTGCCTGGTTTGGGTGGACTCTTCATAGCAAGCATCTTCAGTGGTGGTATTAGGTAATAACTCATTAAAATTATCCACAATTTGATTAATTATTTATTGTTTTCAAAGTACTTTATCTGCAGCACTGAATGCACTCTCCTGCACAATCTACAACGATTTCATTGCTGTATTCATGCCACTCGACTATCCACAAGAGAAAGTTGGGAAAATTTTGAAATTAACTGTAGTACTCGTTGGTATAATCTGCACTGTTCTCGTCTTTATAATCGAACAACTTGGAAGTATCTTACCTTTAGCGATTTCTTTACCAAGTATATCAGCTGGTCCTTTGGTAGGATTATTCCTCATGGGAATGCTTGTACCATCGATAAACTCAAAGGTAACAAAGAAATACAACAAATAATTAAAATACTAATTTAGCAAATATTCCAAGGGCGCTTTATACGGCAGCATTTTATCCGTCATCTTGTTGATCGTAATGATATTAGGATCATTCTATTACAAGATGCAAAAGTTGATAACATTCGAAACAAAGCCAACGTCCACGCAGAGTTGTTCAACACCTTACAACGTCACAACGACGTAATTACGTAATAATGTTATAAGCACTGATTAATTATTGTTGATTTAGGCTTCGCACTAAGGATACAGATTGGAAACCGTTTTATCTATTCAGGATATCGTTTTATTACTATTCCTTGATCGGCATTTGCGTCGTGTTTATCGTAGGATGGATTGTCAGCTACTTTTCTAAAGCAGACGAGAAACAGGTCGAAAAAAAGCTAATTTGTCCGTTGATGCATTGGGCGATGTCGGATGATCTTCTTCCACCCACCTATAGTGTTGTCAAAGAAAGTGTGGAATTAACGGAATAAATCATAGATGAACAATAAATAATATTAGGTTTTCTTTCCCGTTTCATATCTATTTACCCATTACCTACTAATTTCTTTTCTTTTCTTGAAGTTAAGTTAAGTTGGGATATTTATAAATAAGTTAGGTTTTTGCAGTTTTAATTCTAAAATGATATTAATTAATATGTTAAGTGTGCATAGTCTATTACATATTAGTTTTTTGTTACACAACTTAATTATTATCAATTTTGATGCTTTATCACTTTTAACCTCAGGTTTTACTATATTGGTAAATATTAGAGACATATTAAATCTTATACTTTACATGTATTCACTAATTACTTTCAGATCGCAAATAAAATTTGGTTCACTCGAATGTTTCACATATTGTGAATACAGCACAACTATTTGTTATAACTAATGCTCATCCTCTTTATAGTTGTTATACGAACTTGTGATAGTGCACTTAATATAATATATATAATTAGTTGGAAAATTTATAGTAAAAACCAAACTTAAGTTACTGGAAAATAGAATAATGTAAAAACACAAACAAAAATCTTACATTTATTTTCTATAAACACTATAATTAATCAGATTACTCGAGGAACAAAAAGTAATTGCGTTTTTATGTTAAAAGTGCATAGTGCGTATAAATATATAAGAAATAAATGTATATAAGGAACGATAAATTACAAGAATAAATCAATTGAAAATATAAATAAAATGGAAAACGCGACGACGTTAAACGAAACCGCGATTAAATTCAATCTGACTGACTACAGTTTCTTTATAGTAACACTTGTATCGAGCGCTTTGATCGGTATATATTTCGGGATTAAGGGTAGAAAAAAGGAGAGTTCAGCAAATGATTACTTTTTGGGTAATAAATCGATGCACACGTTTCCTATTGCTTTATCTCTAATATCATGGTATGTACTTTATCTCTTGTTACAAGAAAATTTGTATTTATTTAGATTTTTTTTAGTAATATCTCAGGAATTACCTTAATTGTTATACCTACAGATGTGTACAGGTTCGGTGCGCAATTTTGGATGACTGCTGCATCAAGTCTAACGTGCATTTTCATTGCTTATTTTATAACTATACCAATATTTTACAATTTAGGTGTATCCTCGACTTACGAATACTTAGAAATGAGATTTAGTGCAAGAATTAGAAGATTCGCATCTTCTTTGTACACTTTCAACATGCTTTCCTATTTACCCATAGTTGTTTACGTTCCAGCTTTGGTTCTATCTCAAGGTTAAAAAAAAGATTATTGGAAAAATTGTGAAAACTAAGATGTATAATTTCAGTTACTGGTTTTCCGATACATGCAATAACTGTATCGGTTAGTGTCGTTTGCATTTTTTACACGACAATTGGAGGAATTAAGGCCGTAGTTTGGACAGATGCTTTACAAACTGTAGTGATGATTGGATCGGTTGTAGCTATTATTATCATTGGTACTGCGAATTCTGGTGGTATAAAGCATGTAATTGAGGAGTGTAACAATGGTGATCTCTTTGATATTGAGTGAGTGCTATTAACTAAGCTAATTACTTTAAAATTTATTACATTTTATAATCAGTTATAGCATGGATTTGACTGTAAAGGATACAGTTTGGTCGTTACTAATAGCATCTACTTTCTATTGGGTGAACTTCATAGCTGTTGGCCAGAGCAGCGTTCAAAAGTGTTTAGCTTTACCGACTTTCAAAGAAATTAAGAAGTAGACTAATCATAATTAATTATAATTAACGTTAATGATAATATTATTTTTTAAGAGCCTTTTTCATATTCGCAATTGGATGGAGCATACTTCTACTAGGAAGTGTTTACATCGGTCTACTGATTTACGCTAAATACAACAAATGCGATCCGCTACTTACTAAGAAGATTCAAGTCGCAGATCAGATATTGCCTTACTACATTTTGGATGTAATCAGCAAAGTGCCTGGTTTAGGTGGTCTCTTCATAGCTAGCATCTTCAGTGGAGGAATTAGGTAATAACTCATTAAAATTATCCACAATTTGATTAATTATTCATTGTTTTCAAAGTACTTTATCTGCAGCTATGAACGCTCTTTCTTGCACAATCTACAACGATTTCGTTGCTGTATACATGCCACCTGAGTACCCTCAAAAAAAAGTTGGGAATATATTGAAATTGATAGTTGTACTTGTTGGTATAATCTGCACTGTTCTTGTATTCATCATTGAACAACTTGGAAGTATCCTACCCTTAGTCGTTTCTCTACCAAGTATATCAGCTGGTCCTTTAATAGGATTGTTCCTTGTGGGAATGCTTGTACCTTCGGTAAACTCAAAAGTAACTAGCAATTAAATCAAATAAATAAGATATTTATTAACCAAATATTTCAAGGGCGCTTTGTATGGGAGCGTTTCAGCTGTTATTGTATTAATCCTAATGGTATTTGGATCATTCTACTACAAGATGCAAAAGTTTATAACATTCGAAACAAAGCCAACGTCCACTGAGAGTTGTTCGACCACTTTCAACGTCACATCGATGTAATTACATTATATATTATTTTAGCGTTGATTAATTGTTTGTCGATTTAGGTTTCACCCTAAGGAGACAGATTGGAAGCCGTTTTATCTATTCAGGATATCGTTTTATTACTACAACTTGATCGGCCTATGCATCGTGTTTATCATCGGATGGATTGTCAGCTACTTCTCGAAAGCAGATCAAAAACAGGTTGAAAAGAAGCTAATTAGTCCGTTCATGCATTGGGCGATGTTGGAAAATCTACTTCCTCCCACGTATAGTGCTGTCAACGAGAATTTAGAATTGACGCAAGACGCTACAGTTAATGAATAAATGCAATTTGGTTTACCTTTTCTTACTTCTTACACATTTCATTTGTTTTCTTCGATTTAAGGTAAGTTAATAGATATTAAGATAGAAATCATTTGATGTGCGCATAGCTTAGTTTTTTTTTCTTCTTAAAAAACTTGGGCGGATATATCCGCCGCACGGGCGTACTTTTATAATTTTATTTATTTTTTTTTAATTATGATTGATTTGAGTTTGAATTGATTATAGGTTTCTTTATCAATTTAATTTGTCTTCAAGTAAAGATAGGTTTGCGTGTGTTATAATAGGTTAGGTTACGATTTCCTTTTATTAAGTTAAAAACTAAGAGAAAATTAGGTTAAGTTTGGATAGGTTAGGGTTTTCAGTAGGTAAGAATTACACAATACCGCAATGCTGAAACTACAAAAAAGAAGTTTAGTAAATTTTAAGTTTAGGATAGATTAAATTAGGTTAAAATACTACAGATTATAATAAAACAAAACAAAAATAAGGTAGATTCAATTAAGTCAATTTTAATTTGAATTGCGAACGTTAATAAATTGTTTTTGTTTTTTTTTTTGTCAATATTTTATGAATTGACTTGTAAATCTTGAACACGAAAATAAGATATTAAGATTTATTACGTTACAATCACTTTTCACGCTATGCCAACTTGCAGTAATTTACTTGTTTCTATTTGCCTGCATGCACATGTTTCAATTTCGAACGACGAACGATACTTCTTCTCTGTTTTTCTTTTTCTACTTCTTCGTCCCGTTTTACAACTTTCCCCAAAGCTTGAATAGGGACAACAATGAACATTGTCGGGTCTTTTCAAGAGCGCAATAAAAAGGTCAACTTCCAATATATAACATATAACTTCTTCCTTCCTTACTCAACCACTCACAGATGTCATTTATTTAACCCTTTTTTTTCATTGTTACTTACCCGGATATTTCGACTTGTTAAAATCTGAATTTAATGGTTTGTGTATGTTTGAAAAATTATCGAAATGATTAAAAAAAAAATGTCTTGTTTTCTGTAATATAAAATTATTGATTACTAATGAAATGATGTTTGGTATTGTATTTCTCGAATAATCTTGGATGAAGATCTTTGAAGATCGATGATCTTTGTTCTATCGAAAGAACTTTAATGGACTTAAGTGTATAATTGTGAATATTTATTAAAAAAAACAATTTTCCTGAAAAATTGTTTTTATGACTAGTGTAAAATTATTGATTACTAATGAAATAATATAATGTAGAAGGTGAGAAATTCAGCTTTCATACGAGTGGTCGATGATGCAATTATTTCAAGGGGTTGTCGAGAAATTCAGGAAAAACTGACCTCTTACCTAACCTAACATCTAATTCTAAAATGTAAGTATGCTCGTTGGAAAGGTGAGATATTCAGCTTGAACGAGATAATTTCTCGAATTATCTCTTTATTAACTCAATATAAATTTAGTGAACTTAAGTATATAATTATGAAGGATTTGAATAAAAAGGAATATTTCTTAATCTGAAATTTCTAATTTTTCCAAAAAAAAAAATTTTTTTTCATGGCTAGTGTAAAATACATTAGTAATAATATAATTTAGTATTTCTCTTTGTTAACTCAATATAAGTTTTATCAACATTTGTTAATCTGAATCTGGTTTGTTAATTTTAGAAGAATTAACGAATTAATTAAAGAAAGTGAAACTCATGAAGTTATATAAAACTATTGATTACTAATGAAATAATATAATGTAGAATTTCTCAAATAATCTCTTTGTTAATTCAATATAAATTTAGTGAACTTAAGTATATAATTATGAAGATTTAGAAAAAAAAAGAAGCAATATTTCTTAGTCTGAAACTGGATTTTCTAATTTTTCAAAAATTAACTAATTAATTTTTCAAAAAAAAAATTGTTTTAATGGCTAATGTAAAAATATTACTTACTAATGAAACAATATAATGAAGCTGGTTTGTTAATTTTTGAAAAATTAACGAATTAATTAAAAAAAAGTGAAACTCATGAAGTTGTATAAAATTATTGATTACTAATGAAATATTATGAGACAAATATCGAATCTAAGAATTACATTGTTTAAAATGAGGATTTAGTAGTAAAATTAATTACAATTAATTAAGATTTGGTATAGACATTTAATGTTTTTGGGTGAATTCGAATTAGAAAAACGAACGCTGTGACGTTATCTGGACATCTTCATAGGAGCGCAGCTTATTATCATTAATAACGTGTCATATTTTCTTTTTTTTTTTTTGGTCTCTCCTGATATTTATTATTATGTATAAAGGGAATGGTAAATATCCGAAATTTACAAGAGATAAACGCATAGATACATCTGCAGATAAGGCCTGACGGAGGTCGCACTAAGTCAAACAATAAGTAGTCAAAGTCGAAAACGCCATAAATTACTCTGCAAGTGCCCGTCTGCATGGAAACGGGGGGTGGGACCACTTACCGTTTGTTGTCTCTCCTCCTGCCCATATATCCCTACTATGACCATACCACCACAAACACAATTTGAGTGTGTGTGAGAGAGAGAGATAGTGGATTGATTCGAATCTCCAGCGAGCAAACAACTTTCTCCAAACCAAGAGAATCAACGATAAATAAGGGAAAAGACAATTTGAATACTCTCAACGTGCATGCGTATTTTCCTTTCCTTTCCTTTCCATGTTTTTGTTTTTATTCTTATTATTTGTTTCGGTGGTGCTGCGAAAGAGGAAATTTATGTACGTTCCAGAGGGCGCGACACCATCGAAATGGGGTGCTGACACGAGCTTGTCATATACTTAACACGGAAAGGTTAATCTCGTACCTCTGTTGTTACATACTTATTTCGTTATTTTTTTTTACCTAAGTTTCACCTTCGTCGCATGCCCTAAACCACTCATACCTTATCACGCATCACCTGAAACGCAATAACTTATCCTAACTACGTTTCAAAGATCGAATTTGCATTCACCGAAGTTTACGTAATAAACGATGGATTCAAGAAAAAGTGAAGAAAGTCTCTTTTCCAAATTGATTCTTTTTTTTCTTCTTTTTTTCGGTATGAATTATTTATGAAACCCGCTTATCGTCGTGGTAAATCTGGCGCGGGGAGAGATTTATATGTCCATCGATAATTTATTTATTTCGCTTATTTTATTTTCGTTTCACATGTCTCAGGTAAAAATTTCTTGGGAGTTGGAAGAAGGAAAAAAAGGATTTTTTTTTGTTGTTCTGGCTTGGTCACAAAGGCAGTTTCTTAAGTTTTTTTTCCTTCTTTTAATTAAGACAATCATATAATTATTTCATAATAATAATAATATAGTTTCTATTCACACTGATCTATTTACAAACAAAATAATAAAAGTTAATATACAATTGTCACGGGCTAAAAGTCGGCCACGCGAAGATAGAGAGAAAAATAAAATAAAACGTAAAAAGGTGGAAAACTAAGAGCTGTTAGTTGTTACATATATATATAATAATCATACAATGTCATAATAATCATAATAATAATAATAATACAAATCCATGATATGGTCTCTTTATACACAACAATTTTACTAATTTTTTTATATATATATATATAGATTTATATTTTTTTCTGTTCGTTTGTTTTTTTTTTAATCTTTTTTTTAATACAATATTTATACAATGAAAGAAAAAAAAAATAATAAAAATGAAAAAATGATACATTAATAATTAAAATAACAATGAAGGAGTGAAGGTGTGTGATGTAGCGAAAACTGTCTTCGGACGAATCGTGGTCCGGTCCAGCTCGTGCGATGATGCACAAACACACAAACACACACTCACACTTACACAACAGGTTTACAAACAAAGGTGCGCGCATTTCGTCTCTCTTTCCTTCCTCCATCTTCCTCAAGAGACATCCAAAAAAAAAAAAGTACTACTACTACCAATAATAATCATAATAATAATAATGAAAAGAAAGATCCCATTTCCAAATTTAACCGAACTTAAGGAAAATCATTACGTATAATTTTGTATGAAAGAGATTTATATATATATAAAAAAACGAAAGAGATAGAGAGAGAGAAAGAGAGAAATTAACGTAGAATGTACAACAACAACACCAGTTTGCGGACAATAATTTTGTTCGTTATCACAGATATAAATAAATGCATTTACACGAAATTTACAACGGATTGCACGCGAGTTCTCGGCACTCACACAATATACATATATATATTAACTATTTCTTCTTCTTCATTCAATTTTTTTTTCTTCTTCTTCTTCTTTTTTTTTTTGTTGCACTTTGCCCAAGATCCAAAGGACAGCCAGACTTTATTCCTCAGGTAGATTATCTGGAAGAAGAAAAGAAAAAAAATCAAATTAGTACAAATTTAGTAATGCTGTAATAGATGAATTGATTCATTCATTATTAAATTGTAGTTATAAAATTAAGGAATTTTAACTTATTTTTATTTATTTAATGAATAATAATAAATTTATATAATTGTTCAATTAGTGATTTCTTGTGTGAAATTGCAAACAAATGTATGGGAATGATGAGATGGACAAGGAAGAATTAGTGGGATTGCAGTTGGTTTTGGTGTTTGGTGGGAGAGGAGATATGATTGATGGTCGATGGTATCTGAGTAATTGCGGGGTAATAACGTGTGGGGAGGTAATATGGTTGGTAAGCCAAATAAATGCCAGCCGATAATGGAAAGGGTGTGGAGAGAGAGGAGATATTGATTTAAAACAATGGATTCTCCGCGGGGAGCGAGACTGGAAACACTCTGGCACACTCACACACGCTTGTATATATGTATATATATGTGTGTATGTATGTGTACGCACACAGGCAAAGATAGAGAGAGAGAGATTTTGAGAGTGTAGGCAAAGCCTTAAACGGATGCATAAGAGAGGTCTTGTGGGACAGGTTTATAGGATTGAGTAACTCGCGGGGTTAGTTAGCGGTTGACCGAGCGGTAGGACCCATTCACTGATCAAAATCTGGCGTCATTTGTCAATGTCACGGAGGTGGCGATAGCAGGCATTCCTCATTGAGAATAATTTAGCGTGGGCACTTACCTAAGAGACACGGTCCAGCAAGGAGCGGCTCACACGGGTGACACGAATCCGCCGTTCATACTCTGAGGGCTGAGGATTAGAAGGTCGTCGTTAGTTAGATGTTACATATTGAAGCTTAAAAGCACTTACCTCTTGTAGAATGGTTTGAATGCGGCGTTGTCCGAGTTCGGGGCAGGCATCTGCGGTACCTGAGGCGGTTGCGGCCTCTGCGGCGAGTGCAACCTTCCGAATCCACCAAGGAAACTGGCCTGCGAGTAGCCGGAGTTGACTGTGGGAACTCCACCTATGCACGGTCCTTGGCCGGGTAGAAGGTTTCCAGCGACGCTCGGGAGTTTCATGCTTGGCGGCGTCTGCGGAGGTGTATCGGTCTGCACGTCCGGGAATCCTTGTTGACAATGGCTCGGAAGGAATCCGCCGCCTCCGCCGTACCTCGATGTGGGCAGCGCGAATCCGTTGCCTCCCAGCCACTGTTGCTGCTGCTGCTGGTGGTGCTGCGATGGGGGCGGCGGTGGTGGCGTCTTGCAGGCTGCGGTGTCGGCGAGAGACCAGATTTTTGGTTTGGATGGAGGTAGTGGGACGCCGCAGTCGGACGACTTCATCTCGGGCTTCAGACCGAACGTGTTGCCCAGTATGTGGTGCATGTGATTTCCGAGCAGATCGTCCTTCCTGTCGTCGTCCGTCATGTCGTCGTCGTCCAGATCCTTGCCGCTCCTCTCTGCTTTAATCCTGCCGTGCACATCTGAAACGCAAGAGGTCTTAATTGAAACGCAATCTAGAGCTATCAGAGATACAGTGAGAGAGGGGACTGATCCGATTAAAATGAATTGGGGGAAGCGCACACACCCTTACAAAAGCCGAAAGTGCGAACGTGCGAAGAGCACCCCACCATTATATCAATTACGTAACAAACATCATTTATATCTTCAAATTGAAAATCTAAATTTCCAATTGTATTCAAAGTAATATTTTGTTTTGCAACTAAACACTTCCTTGAAAATATTCTATACTTAATAGTAGTTAGTACAGATTAATACTTTGTAAGCAGCTTAAAGGTAAACAATGGATTTTAAGATTTCATACTTTTCAGAATTTCAGTTTACTAGCAAAAAAAAGATATTTATGTTTCGTATTTTTCTATAGTGAGGATTCATTATTGTCATTGTATAAACCGGGACGCCACTGGATTATGTAATTTACCTGTATCGTCCCGTTTGTCGTCGTCGTCCTTGTCCTTGTCGTCGCCGTCTGAGACGAGCGCGTCGTCATCGTCGTCCGTCTTGTTCTTCGGTTCCCAGGTCATCTTGTTCTCCTTCTTCAATCTCCGCCTGGCATTTGCGAACCACGTCGAAACTTGCGTCAGCGTCATCTTGGTGATGATGGCCAACATGATCTTCTCCCCTTTGGTCGGATACGGATTCTTCTTGTGCTCGTTCAACCATGCCTTCAGCGTCGCCGTCGATTCGCGCGTCGCGTTCTTGCGTCTCGCAGCCAGATCGTAACCAGCTCCGTACCTGTAAACGACAAACAAACACCGGAGTTGAAAACACTGAGAGGTTTCGGGTTTCCTTCTTTGTTGCGTGCGGATGATGGTCGTCGCGTGACGCCGAAACAGCCGAATTTGCATTAGCAGCAACCGAATATGCTTCGGCTATTAAATTTGTTACACCTCCTGTTCCATTGTGAAAAGCTGTCAGGCTGATATAGTGAGCGAGCGAGCGCGCCCACCCCTCCTCAACGGCATCCCCATCGGAGCGGGATTTGATTACGGCTAGAGTGGTTTCACCCCTATTAAACTCGCTCTCTTTCTCCCTCTCGTACTCTCACACATGCACACACTCTCTATCTTTTTTTTTCTTCTGTTGCGCGCCCCTATTTTTCATCGCACCACCCTCAATTCAGAAACGGGGGGGAAAAACAGACAAGGGAAAGGCGGCCGTCGATAAAACGTGTGGGGAAAATAAAGTTTTCTTCCATCCCGCAAACATTCTCTCTCTCACTCTTTCTGCTTCGGTTTGAGTCAGCGGAATTGTTTTTTTGAATTTTCTAGAGGGTTGTGGAGGTTGTTTTTTCTTTTTTTGTGGGAGTCGGAGAATGCGGCGGCCGCAGGACAAGTTTACGGCCGCCGTTGACATTCCGAAAAATACGAAATAAGCGTAACCGATTTTATCGACTATAAATACAAATGGTGCATTGCGATGGCAGCCGCCACCTGCGCCGCGACGCCGCAACAGCGCGCCAATCAATAGCGCTCTCCCTCTTCAGCCATTTTGTCTTGAAGCCATTCCGGACGGTTTTGCAAAACCGGGGAATTAGCCGCAACGAGGGGGGGGGAAGCGGATTGAATCCGAAAATCGGATGCAATCGATAAAACGACAAACACATCCATCCACCTTTATTATTCTAATGTATAGAGGAGATTCGAAACTTACCCGTAGGCAGCAAGCGCTGGATCGTATGGGTAATACCCTGTGGTTGGTTGAAGTCCGGCGCTCGTCCACGCCGACATATCGGCTGCCGCTCCTCCGGCATCCTTCAGCACGTATGGATTGCTCTGGTAGAACAAAAGAAAGAACAGAACGAAAATAAGCTTTTGTTACTCTCTTCGAGTTTAATGGACTTAATGGGAAAAGCACCATGGGACGTCACGCGACGTTCCCACGGCCGCAAAATCGATGCGCGACAAAACTTGTAACGTTTAATTGCACTCAATAAAAAGAAATAAAGATTTCATTTGGAGTCGCGCTTCGAGCGTTGCGGTTTCGGGTTGTTACTTCTCTATTATTATTTTTTTTTTTGGTCCAAACCCCCCAAGTATCCACACATCCAGGAAACCCGAGCTACTCTATATTTATTCTGTGAACGTAAATCTTTGCAAGGAAAAGTGAGACCTTTTATATATATATAGATATAGATGTGAGTGTGTGTTTGCAAGCTGGAAGGGAGAAGCCGCAGGGGAGCTAAGAAGATGGATAGAGGGTTTCGCGCTTAGAGTGGCTATAAAGGGAAAAAGAGGGAAACCTCATTTTCAACCACCGCTCGGTAAATTACTGGGCATTATCCAACAGTAAACAGCAGTCAATTGATAGAGTAATTGAAAGAGTTTCGAGCCGGAAAAAAAATATATATATAGATAGATATAAAGAGAAAGAAAGAGCGGAAACAACTTGTTGGATATTGCACCATTTTCCGGTAATATTACACTCTCAAGATTACCTCTTTAATTCACCTAACTTAAAAATTGTATTTCATCTTCCTTTTACATTTATCTCTTCATATTCTCTTAATATACAAGTTTAAACTAACAATTCTTTAACTTTTTGCCGTAAAACACTCATTGTCCCATCATTTGAATAAATATTTAAATATCCAAGAAACTTATGAATTTGATGTCTAGATGTCTAGAAAATCTTCTACATTTCTAATAATTAAATGATTTCTTTAATATATTCAGAATTGAATTGAAAACGTAATAAAATGAATGTTGAAATTGTCGGATGTCTTCATCTTTTGCCACTTCAGATAACTTTATTTATTTATTTATATATGTAATACTGTGTACACTCTTGTTGATGACGGGTTATCAGATAACAATCGAACGCGTTTGTTGTTATACTACTATCACCGACGTCGTCATTATTATTATTATTTGTGGATGCCGACAAGGGGCCGCAATCACGGCAGATTTAGTTCAATTCGATATCGATAACGGACGTTTTCAAAAGGCCCGATCCCAGCTGAGCTATTCAACAAATAAACTCAAACATATGTACATCTCATCCCTATAAATCTATTTATATATATATATATACCATTTAACAAACGATTTCTTTTTATATTAATGAAATAATGTAATGTTTTTAGAGTTGTCGTGGAACAAATTGGATTATATATTTTTTTTTACGTTGGGACTTTCTAAATCGATGTGTGTTCGAGAAATTTAAATAATCGATGGGGTTTTAGAGGTGTCTGCATATTTATGCTAATGATTTACAACAACAACAAAAAAAATATATTGCTAACGAGGTGACGCTTCGAAAATTTCAAATCGGGTCTAATGGGAGAGCGGATGGTGGAGCAGCGAGAGGAATGAAGATTAAAAGGATGGCTGTGAGAAATGTGACAAAAAAGTAAGAGAAAAAGAGAAACAAACGCTGTTTGTTGACAAGTAAAAAAGATTAATTCTCGGTGTGTGTTTGTGTTTGTATACGGTTTCTTGTGGCGAGTATTGCTGCAAACCCAGGTGTCGGCAAATGTGATATGGTATAAGGTAACTAATTATATTCTGTGTATAAGGTATGTGTATGTGTGGAGAGGTGGCGCGAGGAGGAGGAGGAGGAAAAAAAAAAGGTTGTCTCGAGTCGGGGCGGTATGCAGTTTTAAAGTCAGCCAGGCGACCGGCTGGAATGCAGAAATTGGATTTTTATTGTCACACCGCGCGTTTCATAACAATACGTTTCCAGTGTACGTCTGTCTGCCAGTTCTTTTTTGTTGTTGTTGTTGCGGGGCTTCTCACAATCATTCTCCGTCGCACGCATTCTCCCGGTTGGAATAAATTTACCTAATGGCGGTTTTTGGGATGTTTTATGTTTTTGAGCGTCTACGATCGTTACACTCAACCCCCTCGGTTCATTGAGGGTAAGTGGTGCGGCTCTAATTAATCTGGTAGAAGAGGAGGCAACCCCGTTAAGACTTTAAGATCGCGATCAACGGTTTCGGTTCAGTTAACGCGTTAATTAATTGATTCCTAATTTATTTCGACTTCGTTTTTAATTCTTTTCATTTGGCCCGAACTGTAATTGGAAGGGCAACAAATTGGTATTGATTCAACTGCGAAGATCGACGCAAGCGATACGAGGATGATGATGAATGGTCGCAGCCAATCGGATGCTAAGAGCTGTTTAATTATTGACTTTGCGAGCGCGCACACGCCCCGAAGCTCCGATTATAAATTTATGGCAAATTGCATTCCGGTTAGAGGATGAGGATAATTGCTTCATCTTAAGGTAGTCCTTTTACTACTGCTACTCACCAGAGGGGAATAGAAGGCTGAACTCTCGACGCCTATGCTCGGGTACGGGTTCTGATCTGTGGATGGGTATGGGGTGCCGTAGACGCCGACGCTTCTTGGGTATTGGAGGGCGGCGAGACGAGCCGAATCGTATTGGCAGGAGCAGACGCTTTGACCCGTCACCGGGTCTGTGACCAGAGGTCTTCCGGATTCGCAGCACTGAGTTGGACCCGAACTCGATGTTCCTCCAGGCGATAAAGCACCCGGAACTCCTGCTGATCCACCGGGACTCAACGATCCGCCGCCCGAGGCCGGAGAAGATCCTGCGTTCGTCGTGGTCGGTTGTCCAGACACTAGCAGCTAGAAATGAAGAGAAGGACAAGAAAATAAAATCGATTTTGCTTTAGAGAAAACAGACAAACGCCATTAAGCACGTGCGCCATTTTAATGGATTCCCAGCAACGGCGAAAATGATCACTTCGAGCCATATATAACATCGGGACAGATCAAACACGGATTTCTCGCGAACGTTCCGCATTTCTGACGCCGATTTTACCGTTGTTCTTTTCTTTTTCATCTCTTTCTCTCTTTGTTTTTCTTTTTTCATTCGCGCCGTTTTTCCCGTCATCCGGCGGGGATGGATATTACGGAAAAGCCGAGAGTGCTTTGTCAATGTTTGCAGCCCTCTCCCCGTTTCTGTTTACCCACACGTGACTCCAATAACCCCGAGCCCGTTAATTACTTCGGCTTTAATGCGTTTCCACTCCATCAATATCCTAACATAATCAAAACGAAATGCCAATTCATTTACAACCAAATTTCAAAGAAGACACATATACAGCCTGTTGATACATCCACACAAATAAACATCATCATCAACAACAATAAAGTAACAACTTTTCATCAACTTCTAAAGTTAAACTTGAATGATTAAAGCAAAAATAATTATTAGAAACAACAACTTCTAAATTTAGAACAGAAATAAGTAAATTTCAATCCATAATTTCATCTCTTTGGATATAAGCAGTTAATTTGCAGCAACTACATTTGTATTCATTTCACAACTTCAAATATTAAACTTGATATAATAAAAAGAAACATTAGTTTCACTTTTATGCACGAATAATAAAACTATTTAACGATTTCGTTTTGCTTTTACCTCATAACATTTATCTTTTAATGTAGCAAAAGTAGTAAATATAGTTAATATCAATAAAATTTCTTTGAATAAACATCATTATAAATTTTCATTCAAACATAATCAAAATGAAATTTTACACATGTTCTAAAAGAAGATGGAAAACGATGAATTCATTTTACATTGAAAATAATACTATTAAAGAAACAATTTACTTTTATGAATGAATACATTCCGTTTTTAACTAAAAATATTATTACTATAGTATTGTAAACGTTTTATAATATAAAACTAAAGTAGAAAGATGCAATTATAACATAAATTTGCTTTAAAAAACAATAGTTGTTATATAAAATGAAACAAAGACATATGTTATATTAAAATCGGGTAAATCGTCGTTAAAAATATGTTTTATATGATTAATTAGATGAATATTCATCAATAAATGTTTTTACTGAAAACTCAATACGTTCTAACTAATAATCTCGTAGAAATAGTAAATCTCACTGAATAAATCAAGAATGTCACTTTTTCTTTACAAAAACTAAATAGTTTCGTTCTAAAAATAGTCGAGTATCAAACAATAGTTTACGTATTTGTTCGTAAATGTAAACTTAGTAGAAATAAAATAATTGAAGTATTGTATGTAAAATATAAGTGTTAATTGTAGGTAATAATTTGTAGTATTCTTAATTTAAAATAGTTGATTTGTAACAGTAGAATTGTTTTAAAATCTTAACTGAAAGTGTAATAATCGTAATTAAATTGAAGCTATAACAGATAAAATGATTCTATGGTTTAAGCTTTTGGTGATGATAAAGCTATGATAGATATTAGTGTCTTTTACATTTTAGGAAGTAAATGAACGTCGCATCTAAAGGTATAATTAAATTAATTACGTTATCTTTCGAAGTTAGTTTTAAAGGCTAGTTAAATTTAACGATAGTTTAATCAACTGGTAAAGGAAGCACGTGTATAAACCGGTGAATGCAAATAAAGTAATATGGAAATATAAGTAAGTGTGTATGTTCCGTATTTGGACGTTAATCCGTAAGCGCGTATATTTCATCGTAGTGGTAAGGTGTCAGAAAGTGAATTGGCAATTGACAAAAAGGCCTCGAATTTAATGATGGTGAACTGACCACGGGGATATCAGTATTTATGATCTGAGAAGCAGGTGCCGTCGGGACTACCTCCAGAGCGCCAGACCAATTAACCAGATCGAAAGAACAAAAAAAAGTCCGTCGAAAAGAGAGATGAATTTGCATGAACGCGACGGATGCTTTAATTTATATTTGTATAGATTATTTCGTAATTGTTTTATAAATTTAAGTTGAAATATGTAAACAATGAAGTACCTGAGTGGCCGTCGGATAAGTGTAACTAAATTGAGCGTACGCAGCCATCGCAGCACTAATTGCAGTCTAAATATATATATATACGTATATCACAGATCACTAGTTACAAAAATATTGTATTCACTTTTGTTGGAGTTGATGTATTTTTTTTTTGTATGTTGTTGTTGTTTCTTCCGTCGCGCACTACACTATCCACATGTCCAGGGGGTAATACACCCTCCACGAAATATGCATGAAACGAGAAACACTGAACGTGAACCTGATGTGCGCAGCGTGGCAGGCCAACAGTGACTGGTATAAAAGCTGAATCTTGGTAGTCAACGGGAAGTGTGTCAGTGTGGAGGGACGGCCCTACGATGGGCGTGGTGTCGCCTAACAACCATTGACTACACGGAAAAGGTAGGACGCGACGGACGGCGCAGACGTTCATTGGTTCCCCACCACTGAAGGCGACGCCCATTGGGCGGTCCAGACACGCCCATCGAGCCGGACCTAACGAGGGGATCAAATGACTATCTTGTTTATGGGGCTCCGCAGATCCAAACAAATCCCACCTCGATTCAACAAAAACTCCCTAACTGAATTTATTGGATACAAGGTGTTTGTCTGAATGAATCGCTTGCATCATTTGTATTCTGATTCGGACGAATGATGCTCCGCTTTTTACACGAAAACTCACTTTGCACCTTTCTCTCTCTCTCTCTCTCTCACTCACTCACTCTTCTCCACTTCTTTATAATCACACATATGTCCCTACACCACTAAAAGATATAAAACTCCTATGTTCCACAGATATGTTTATTAAATACACAACGACTTTACAGATAAATTACGGACACACGACGTTTTACCTCACTTTATTAAATAATCCTCAACAGTTTACGTTCAGATTCAATAACAAAAACTTTAATCTCCTTACTACAAAATTAAATTAACCAGAAAAGAAAACATTTTCACTATCAAAAACAACTATTTCAGAGTCTTTTTAAAACAGACAATTTTTCATCAGCTAAATCATATATCATATACTTAGTAAATATAATCATTCAAAAAATAAGTTTAAATTTGAGTTTCAAAAACAAATAAATTTCATTATTTTCTAATTTTACATAAATTTAATTTAAGTATTTTTTTTTTTAATTTTCCTTCAACAACAAATACTTTTTTCTACTACATTCATTACGTACACAATCTATAGTAGAAATGATGATAATTCAATTAATTTGTGACCTTTTTACATAATAAATTCACATAAATCTAAAGTTTAATAAAAAATCGATTTTTTTTTTAATTCAACTTTGTTTAGTTAAAATATTATATTTTCTTTAAAAAAATGTATAAATCTTTCGCTTTTATAAAGAATTTACTACATATTTTATAAAATAATTTGTAAAATTTGTATATTTAATACTATTCTTATCTACATTTTACTGTAAACGTAATAATTTTTTCAACAAAATTTCAATTTAAAGTTACAAAAAAATTCTCTGAATTCAAGATTAAATTTCAATTTAAAGTTTTAAAATCATTCGAAAACCAATTTCCTTGAAGTAAGGATTAAATACATAATCTCAGTTTGCTAGAAAAAATAAATTAATTCCATACTATGAATTATCGACGGCAATAAAACTGACCAACAAGTAGCAAATACTTAAAAAAGGACCATAAAAATCTATTGCCATTATAAACGTTGCTAATCGGTAAATAAACAGAAATACATTTATTATCCCAATAAAATGTAATATATTTTATAACGATAATAATAAATATTTATCAACATTACCGCAATTGGTGGTTTTTTGGGAAAGTTAAAAAATAAATTTTATTTACTACTTTCACCGCAACAGTTTTTTTTTTACGATTGTGAAGAAGCTCACAACTACTGTGTGTTATATATTATATATATTTTTTTTATTTAGTAACAACTCATGCACTAAATGAGTCAACTAAGTTAAGTATTTGGGTCTCAGGTTCCGACGATGAAACTCAAGAAAGGTTCAGGTCACAGACTATTTTTTGTTGTTGTTGTGTGCTTCTATTTCGTTGTATCCATTGTAGCGACGCTCTCGTCCTTTAAACACACATGTTTGCAATGCAATATGCTCTTCTTTTTTTTCTTCCTCTTCTTCTACTATTTCTTGGAAGGAATACATGATTTTTATATAATGAAAACCTAAAAATTTCATTTCAATTTTAATGAATGAATTGCATTTCCTAGAAATAGTGAAGTTTTCATAAATTCATTTGAATCTTTAATTTATAAAAAGATTAAATTTAATAAACTTATATTTATTTCAGATCATTCAAGTACATTAAAAGAAATGTATGTTTTTGTTTTTATCTAAGCATACTTTACTTAATTTCAACTATAATTTATAGAAAAAAATTGAATAAAATAATTGAAAGTACACTAAAAATACATTAAAAAGAAACATTAATTTAAAGTTTAGAACATTATCTAATCTTCTTAAATCTTCCAATTTATTCAAATAAAACACAAGAATTTTGCAGAAATTGTTTCTAATTTTATTTATGAAACTAATCTAAATCTTGTTTATTGATGATAATTTTCTTTAATACTTATTGAAAAAAGTATACTTTCAATACAAATTGCTCAATAAACACTGATATTTGCACTAATAAAACAATTTTATAAATTTACTGAGTTGAAATTTGATTATTTTAAATTTGCTGATGAAAATATAGAATTTTTATTTTTGCAAAAGAAATGTTAAATATTTATAAAACATTTAAACTTTCTTTTTCTCTTTCTAAAAAATGTTCAACGAATTTTATTCATTTCGATTCAGTAATAAAGCAACACATTTTATTTAATAAATCTACACTTTTTTCTAAACTGAAGAGAAAAATAACGTTTTATGAGACATAAATATTGTTCAGACAAACCAACTTATTGTTGCTCATAAATTATGAATTTATAACTGAATTAATAGTTATAACTTTTCATTGATTTACTTATATTTATACATTATAGACTTGAATGAAATTTCATGTAGTGTCGGTGCAAGTTTTCACAAAAATAAAATTAGTTAATGAAATTTTGTACAGAAAAACTTTCTAGTATTTGTAATATAATTATTAATGTTTTTCCAAAGCTCTATTTTTCTCTTACTCTCGTTATATGTGCATCTCTTTTTAGTCTCTGAAAGTTATGCAAGGATTTCTATTTGTGGTTCTAAACTCGAGAGAAAAATAAATCTAATGTTGCGTCCACACTATAAGTTTTATGAGACATAAATAGTTCTAAGACAAACCAACTTAATATTAATTGTAAATTAGACTTGATAGAATGAAATTTTAAGTAGTGCGGATGCTACTTTTCACAATTTACAACAAATGTTATTTAAATAAAATATTCTATACAAAAAAATATATCTATCTTTGGTAAGATTGAGGCAGATGTTTGTCCGAAGCTATGTTTTTTTTTGTAATAACGTCGATGTTTTCTCTTTTGCTCTTGTTATTTGTCCATTTCTCTCTCTGTCTCTCTTTAGTCTCTGAAAGTTATGCAATAATTTCTATTTGTGGTAACAAGAAACGGGCGGTCTGTCTGCGGACATGCGTCCGTTTTATATATATATTTTTTTATTTACTTATTTTTGGTTCCCCTTTCGCGAAAACAAATATTAATCAAGAGCGGACCTCGAATTATTTACACACGGTGCGAATGTGGGTGGAAAGGAAAAGAGAAATGAACAGAACAGAGCAGGCGCTTCGGCCAAAAAGGCGCTCCGAAAAAAAAACACACACACAGAATCTCCCCCCTTTCTATCGACGGATTAAAGCGATTTACCGCCGTTCCGAGGATAAGCCCATCGGCTTTTCACTTTCCCAAAAAAATCAATCTACAATTACCTTTCTTCCTTCTCAAAAAATAAAAATAAAAAGACAGCTGCATACTTCACCACAAAAGACAAAACCAGATTCGTATCTACCAATTCCTTCCTCATCCGCATAACAAATTTGTATTTATATATTATTTCTTTTCTTTTTTCAAACGCTTGTTTCAAATGTCCGCTCTCGGTGGTCCCTAAACGTAAGTCACCACCGCTTCCTCCACTTTGATACTCTCTTCCTTCCTGCCATTTAATGAAATCCTTCCGCGGCTTCAAGAAAGGTTTCCTCCGCCGAACAAAAGATTCTCTTCACTCCTCGCGTCCATTTCTTTCTTTTTTTTACATAACGTAACCATCGTTTTATGTTTTTTTATTGCCTCCATTACTACATCCAACAGGTGTTAGGCATAATGCACAAAAGGTTTTGCTGTGATTTTTTTTAATAAGTGGAGGAAGGAAATAAAAATCTCCGAAAAAATAAAATTACAATATGATTCATCAGCTTTATTTTTACTAAGAAACGACCAACATATAATACGTATTTTAAATTGTCCACTCAGAACATAACGGGAATAAATTTACATTCGCTTTTCATATAACTTTTTTTTATTTGAATTAAATTTTCATTTATTTGAAATTTAACACATTAAGTCTTTTTAGTATAACAGTTCTTTATTTTAGATACAAAAAATTACACTTCATCAATTTTAGAACATTTTTTTTTGTTAATTTAATTATTAATTGATGTTCTTTATGCAACAATAAGAAAACTCTTAAATCAATGGAGTTTGTATGATTTTTCTCCAAAATTTACTACAAATTCATTACATTTCTTTCATTTTAAAAGATTGTTTTTGTTAATTTAATTTTGCAAGTTTGTTTTTATACATTTTATATCAAAAAGTTTAATTTTATTTACATTTATTATTATTATCTTAAATCCATGGAGTATGCATGATTTTTCAAGAAATTTACCATAAAATTATTACATTTCTTTATCTATAGATTTTTTTTATGAAAATTTAATTATTATATAATGTTACAAGTCTGTTTTTATACATTTTATATCGAGAAGTTTAATGTTCTTTATGCAATAATAAGAAAACTATTAAATTGTATGATTTTTCTAGAAATTTACTACAAATTCATTATATTTCTTTCATTTTAGAAGATTGTTTTTATTAATTTAATTATTAATTACTTTTACAAGGATTTTTTTATACATTTTATATCAAAAAGTTTAATTTTCTTTATATAATAATAAGAAAGCTCTTAAATTCATGGAGTTTGTATGATCTTTTCAGAAATTTACTAAAAAACATTAAATTTTTTTCAGTTTAGAAGATTTTTTTTGTAAAATGAATAATCAAATTAAAAAGTGTTACAAGTTTGCTTATATCAAGCTCTTAAATACAT